TGACTAGGTCCAGGTCTGTTGGACTAACCTCTAAAAGCACCCCGCGCAGGAGGCGCACTAGAAACCGGAGGTGCATAATAAGGCTTCTGAGATCTAGGAGGAGCTGGAGCACTGCTGGCTACTGGAAGAGCTAAATTAACAGGGCGACTCATATAACCCCTACCATGAAGACCTGCAGCTGGGGTATGGGCACCAGAATAATGGCCCGACTCTCGAGACCTCTTGGCCTTCCTCTCCTCTCTCTCCCTAGCATGCATACCCTCAATTCTCCTAGCAATGCTCACCACCTGCTGGTAAGAAATGTCTATCTCCAACTCTCGAGCCATGCTAGATCTGATGGGTGGGATAAGGCCCTCAATGAACCGACGAACCCTCTCACGGACAGTAGCAACCAAGGCCCGTGCATGCCTAACCAATCTGGTATAACAGATAACATACTCTGAAACAGTCATAGCACCCTGGCGCAAATGCTCAAACTCTACGCGTCATGCGTCCCTGAGGCTATGAGGGACAAACTCTTTCAGGAACATATCTAAGAACTGGGTCCAAGTCAGTGAAGCAGCCATATTTGGACTGTCTAACTCATAGGTGCACCAGTCATAGGTGGCTCCCCGAAGCTGGAAAGCAGTAAAGCAAACCCCGCTAGATCCTGTTATACCCATAGTGCGAAGAATACAGTGGCACTCCTCCAGAAATCCCAAGGCATCATCTGATGCTAATCTACTGAATACCGGAGGATCATACTTCTTGAACCTCTCAAGTCTCTGCTGCTCGTCCTCTGAAGCAGTTGCCCCGTCCTCGGGCTGAACTGGCACTGCAGGCGGTGCTGGAATGATCTTTGGGACCTGCTCAACATGCACTTGCTGCTTCAGAGTGCGGGCGGTGGGAGACTGTGCTCTTACCCCAGCCTGGGATATGGCTGCGGCAAGGAGAAGCAACCCTGCCTGAGCCAAGGTGGTGTACATACTCATGAACTGAGCCAGAGTCTCCTGAAGGGCTGGAGTAGTAGTGGCAGTAGGCGTGTCAGGTGCCTGGACTCTGGTTGGATCTACTGGCGGTACCTCGCGCAGGTGCTCTCACTGCACCACATGCGCATCCTCGGCCTCTACCTCGGCCCCGACATCTGACGGCTACAGTAGGGGGCGGGGGTGCATGATCATCTCGAGTAGCACGTGTCCTCACCATCTGTGAGAGAATAGAAAACAGAAGTTTAGAATTGTGATGTCAAAATATCGCACGACAAGGAAATCAATTGAAGTGAAGATTTTTCCTAACAGTTACATAGCCTCTTGTAGATAAGTATAAACATCTCAGTACCGATCAGCGAGACTCTAATAAACCGGCATGTGTTTCGTGAGTCCTATGAACCTAGAGCTCTGATACCAACTTGTCACGACCCCAATTCACCCTCTGTGAACATGCCCTGACGGCACCTAGTCTCTATGACTAGGTAAGCCTAACAATGCGGAAAATAAACTAACTTGCAAAATAAATAATCAAAACTGAACAACTGGAAGAAAATTGTATATAAAAATGCCGCTCGGCATACCAATATTACAAAATCCTACAATACTATCCCAAAACCAAGAAACTCACGAGAACACACGCTGAAAGAAACGTAGTACAATGCTCTAACTCCAGAATGTCTACAACAACAGTAAGAAAGAAGGCTAAATACTAAAAGATGGAATAAGATAGAGACTCCTTGGTCTGCGGACGCGGCAAATGTACCTCGAAGTCTCTGATAGATCTCCCCGCCTTAAGAGTGATACGCCTGGGTAGAGGTACCTAGATCTGCACATGAAAAACATGCGTAGAAAGGGCATGAGTACACCACCGTGGTACTCAGTAAGTGCCAAGCCTAACCTCGGTCGGGTAGTGACGAGGAAGGTCAGGGCCCTATTGAGGTTAAACATAATATAAAGTTTTAACAGTATGAAATAGACAATATAAATGAGTACAACAGTGAAATAAGATAGGTTATACAAGGCAACAACAAATATACAAAGAACAAAGTAACACAGAATAAGAACAATTCAATACCAATAGCAACAACGAGGATCTCCCAGGATACCGTCCTGTAGTCCCTTTCATCAACTGTCCAGTGGATCTCTCGGGATACCGTCCCGTAGTCCAATCATCAATGCACGGGGATCTACCGGAACCCCAGTCCGTATTCCTAAATGTAAATACTCAGTACTGGAGGAATCTACCGGGTGCATTTCCGTAGTTCTATATAACTGTGTAGGGGGATCTACTGGGAATCTAACCCGTAGTCCCAAAGTAAACAAACAA